GAGTATCTTCTCACTCCAGAAACTAGAAGAACACAGGGGTGAAAGCTCCAGACCTCTCTAGGTTCTGGAGGTTGTTCTCAGTAACTCAAGTTAGCATTTTCTGTGCTATGCTTTCAGCCCAGGATCTGAGCCCTCATCTTCCTTCTCCTGTGCCTTTGCTCTGCTGTTGTGGACTAGAGTCTGGAACTCTTTGGAACCTTTCCACAAACAATTTTTTTCTTTCATAACTTGCTTTGATCATGGTGTTTTATAAGGAACCATTATACTACTCAGTCCACAAGGCTGGATGTCTCACAATCTGGTTCTAAAGGCCTGAGGGGTTCCTGGAGAGCCATTGGTCTTCAGGCTGATTGATGTACAAGTCACCGTTGGATACTGATAACCTTGAAGAATGGACGCAGCAGTGCAAGAGCATAACTGCAGCCATCAGCAGGCTGGGGGGAGGCACACACAAAGCCACAGCTTTACCATGGGGAATCCTTACATCTTGGCCACCACCAGGAGTTACTGATGCCCACTCTGGAACAAGTATCTCCCCCATCATTTAATGTGAGGCATATTTCTTAGTTGAAACTAGATCAAAACTCAAATTACATATATCATTTTCATAGTATCCCGAGGGAAGGAGGGGCTACTGCCATGCCATGTAGAAGATAGGAGACATGGATATTGCTGAATATCAGCTAAACCCCAAAGAGGTTATTTGACCTTCAAGGTCCATAGATATTTGTTTTCATTAAGCATCCCTGAGCAAGGCACCAAGATAACTGTAATAATGACAAGGAAAAATGAAATCCAGCACTGTATGTCTCTTGTGCGAAAGATCGTGACCACTGATTAAGTGCTACTGAGAAAAAACTAATAAAGTCAAATCCAATAAGCTTCTAGATCTGAATCAAGATACAGGGTCTGAAGAGGACAACACTATACTTTCAGTGTATGGGGGTGGGGGAGTCAAAATTGCACAGGAAACCCAGCCGGGAGAAACTCTGTAATTCTATTGCAAATTATAATTCCAATGCTAAAAGGAAGCAGAGACAAACACCACAGTTAAAGTATTTTCAGAAATAAAGTAGATAATTACTGTGTGTGTCCTGTTGAAATTTTCATTTGAACAATTATAATCTTTATATGTAATTATTCTTTTTGAAAGATAAACTCTGAGTGATATTTTATGGTTAGTAACTATTGAAGAAATTTTTATTTTCAAATACTTTTCAGTGTCCAACTTTTTTATTATTTAGAACACATCTTCTCACCAAACCAGCAATTCTTTCTCACCTTGTATTAGGAATGTCTTTCACAAGCGCCTAAGAATTAGGAACAGCTATCATCTCACCCCAAGAAATTTAATTTCCCAGTTCTCATGAGCACTCCAATTTAAATACATGTATCTAAAGATTCAAATCTGTCACCTGCCTCTAAAAGAGAGTGTACAATGTGTTTCCTCGGTCTTGGTCGTCTCACTCAGAATCATTGTTTCCAACTCTATCCATCTACCTGAAATTTCATAATTTCATTTGCCTTTCCAGATTAATTATTCACATGTTAATTATTTCTTCATCAGTTATGGATGAACACAACAAAGTCCGTGGAGGAGCAAGTGCCTCTTCTATGGGATATAGATAGAGTCATTTGGGTACATAGCCACCAGTAGTATAGCTAGATCACATGGTAGATGTCTTTCTTCCTTTTTGGAAAACCTTCACATCTCATACTGGGGTGACCCCCAACCAGAAAATTATTTTGTTGCTACTTCATAGCTGCAATTTTACTACTGCTATTAATTGTAATATAAATATTTGTGTTTTCCAATCATCGTAGTTGACCTCTGTGAAAGGATCTTTGGCCCCAAAGGATGAGAACCCTGTCTAGAATACGATGAACTCTCAGAGTAATTTAATTTGCATGCCCTTCTGGCCAAAGACACTAAGCATTTAAAAAAAATTTCTCAGACCAACAGTAAGGCATCCAAAAGCTCAGCTAGATGAGGGAAGGGCTTATCAAGTCTCATCCCTAGATGAGAGTTACTGGAAATTGATGGCAATTGATGACTACTGGGGAAGGAGACTGAGTTTTCTTCAGATAAAGACTCCAAACAAACAGATCACAGAGTGTTTAATAAAGATGAGCTGCAAACACTGTGTCTGAAGAACCAATCACAGCATATGGAAGACACTGTGTCTTTATGTATCTTCCTCCCTAATAAGCCATATGTATTTCTATACCCTTGAGTAGTTTTCTTCTCTCACATATCTCCTACACTGGTGTATATAAAGCATGTTTATGGTGCCCAATTTTCTAATTTACTACACAATTGTCAGTCATGAGCAGAACATTCTATCAGAATAATGAGGGCCATATAAGGATGCCAGTATGGGAGATGAAGTGTTATACATGAAATATCTTCTACAGAACATGATTTGACCTTTCTCAATCCCATTACTACTACCATAGTTCAAACCACCCTAATACTTAAGCAGCATGGCCAAGTACCCCACTTGCTTGAAGCCCTTCCTCTAATCTTTTCTTGTATCATTTTGTTTGTCAGATTCATAGCTAAAAAATGCAAAATTTTCAATGAAGATGCTTACTAAATTACCAGTTTTTCAAAGCTGTGAGGATAAAGTTGTTCTGGTTAGTTTTATGTAAACTTGACACAAGCTGGAGTTATCTGAGAGGATGGAACCCCAATTGAGAAAATTCTTGCAGCTGGTGCACAGCTTTAATCTCAGCATTTGGGAGGCAGAGGCAGGTGGATCTCTGTGAGTTCAAGGCCAGGCTGGTCTACAGGGCAAGTACCAGGACAGGCTCTAAAGCTACAGAGAAACCCTGTCTCAAAAAACCAAAAAAAAAAAAAAAAAAAAAAAAGGAAGGGAAGGAGAAGGAAGGGAGGGAGTGAAGGAGAGAGAGAGAGAGAGAGAGAGAGAGAGAGACAGAGAGACAGAGAGAGACAGAGAGACACAGACAGAGACAGACAGAGACAGAGACAGAGACAGAGACAGAGACAGAAATGAGAATTCTTCCATAAGACTGGGAATTTTCTTAATTGGAAATTAATGGAGGAGGGACCTGCCCATTGTGGGTAGGAACAGCACAGGCTGGCCGTCTTGAGTTCTATAAGAAAGCAGGCTGAGAAAGCCATGAAGAGCAAGCCAGTAAGCAGCTCTCCTTCATTGCTTCTGCACCAGCTCTTAACCTCCATATTCCTGTCCTGTTTGAATTCCTGTTCTCACTGCTTTTAATGATGAATTGTTTTATGAAAGTGTGAGTGAAATAAACCCTTTCCTTCCCATGTTGCTTTTAGTCATGGTATTTCATGACAATAGTAGCCTTACCTAAGACAAAAGTTAAAAGACAATTTGGCATGCAAGGCCTTGCCAGATCTTTCCATGTCTATCCAGCTACTTTACTGTTTCCATCTCCCTACTCTTCTGTGCATTTCAATTAAGCTTCCGGCATATTTAGGGTGTAGATGCTTGCACTGTATGTAAAACTTTGAATTGCTTGTTCCATCTTTAGGTTTCTTGTCACCTAACTAACTGGTACTCATGTTTCTAGTCTCAACCTGAGACTTTTCATGTGGACACTTCTGCCATCACCCTAAATGGTCTCAATCTCACATTAAACTGATTATGTGTATTACAGCTATTCATTCTCTGTCAGCCACAGTCTTCATGCATGTTCCTGTTGAGACTGTACCAGATTGAGAATGTTTCCAAGAACCACTGACACAGTGTAGACATTATGGGGATGTCAATATAAATTCAGCTGTCACTCACATCTTTGGGGAAGACTATCTGTCTCTCAAGATTTGAGATTATGTTATTGTAAAGTTATAATTCAAACATGAAATTTGCTTCAGATTAAATGGGTCTTCACCTATGTAAAGCCTCAGATGCTGTAATAATGTGTTAACAAATGCAACAACTGAAAATTATTGGTTGTAGGAAGAAAAAATACATAGAATCCTTCAAGGAAGTAAGGAGACCATTGTGGCCACTGCTTCCTTTTTGTGTACATCTCTATCCATTGTTCAATTACTGTTTTCTTCTATTTTGCATTCTTTGGGGATTTTTCTCATGATGAAGTCACTGAGGGCCAATTGTGAGTAGGGAAGATGAAAGAAAAGGCTAATACACAGACATGAAGGTAGCATTAACACAGCCAACTGAACCATCTTAATTGCCCCAATCCATCTTTAATGAATCATAAGTCCCTTTCTAAGAGTGTGTCCTTGATAGTTTATATTTATATTTTATCTCACCATTTGTGTGATTATTGTGTTTCGATAGTTCAGAAGTAGAGAGTGTATTTTTTCTCAGATTGAACAAATTCAAATTCAACTAACATACACACACACACATACATGCACACACACACACACAGTCAAATTCCTTCAGATTGTTTGAATGCTTCCAGTTAGTGACAGTCACAAATGTTGACTTGAACAATAATAACTTTATATACTTGGTATCTCCCTATGGAAACTTTCATTTGCTCTTTCTGTCCATGGTTAGCTCTAAAAAAAAATCGTTAACTCTTACAGTGAGAAATGGCATCTGCATGTAACTAGTCCTGCATAAAGTAAATGTAATAATCTTTCACGGCTCCCTTCCATGTTGGCCCACTTACAAGCTGTGTTATTACAGCGACTTTGAATGTTCACATGAGTCTCTCCAAAGGTGAACATGAATTTTCTCTCAACTGGAATCCCAACAACTTGTTGTAGAATGTATCAGCACTTTCCAATTATCATGCCATGGAGGCAGAGACAGTATTAGGAGAAAGTTCTACAAAACATTGCATGACTCATCTGGACACCCTGCTGAGACTCAATATAAATACTCAGCCTGCCACCTGTCATCACCGGGCACATGTTATGCCCTCTACTACTCTACTACTGCCTGGTAGACAGGACATTGCAGATTCTGTCTGTTATCTATGAGTCGAATAAACACCGAGGAAAACCTCTTTTCCCCATTGATGCTCATGAGACATCAAGCTGCCAGTTTTGATGTGAACCCAGAGATTTTCCCTAAAAGTTTCTGCCATGCCCCTTTAACCTCTTTATTCCTTAGACTGTAAATCATGGGGTTCAGCATGGGTGTCAAAATAGCATAGAACAGAGACATCAACTTCTCCTGAAGGACAGACGGATTGGAGTGGGGCTGGATGTAGGTGAAAATCGCCATTCCATAGCATAGGATAACCATAGTAAGGTGGGAGGCACAGGTCTGAAAGGCTTTCCACCTTCCTTCTGTGGACTGTATCTTTAGGATGGTGGAGATGATCTGGATGTAGGACAAGAGAACCAGGAAGAAAGGTGTCATAAGCAAGACAATGCTAGAAACCATGATTGCAACCTTATTGGATGAGGTATCCACACATGCCAATCTGACCACAGCAAGAGTTTCACAGGCTATGTGATCAATATACTTATTTGTGCACATAGGCAGCTGAAAGGTGATGGCAGTATGCACAAGAGAATTGATAGAACCACTGACCCAGGACGTGATGATCAGCCTCAGGCAGAGCCCTGCATGCATAATGACTGAGTACCTCAGAGGGTCACACACTGCCACATAGCGGTCATAGGCCATCACTGCCAGAAGAAGGAACTCAATCCCACCCAAGCCCAGAGAGAAAAATAACTGTGCTGCACAGCTCAGAAATGGAATTGCTTTGTGTGCTGCAAGAAAATGAGCCAGCAGCTGGGGGACTATGCTTGTGGCGTAAGACACATCCACCAGCGACAGATTGGTGAGAAAGAAATACATGGGAGTGTGAAGTCGGCTGTCGAGTCTGATCAGAAGAATGATGAGGACGTTCCCAAGCACTGTCACTAGGTACATGAGCAAGAACAAGACGAAGAGGGAGACTTGAGTGTCCCAGTCTCTGGACAGGCCAAGGAGGATGAATTCATGCACCCATGTCTGGTTGTTGGGTTCCATTAAAAACTATGATCTGCAAAGAATCAGAAACAAAAACACATGCAATAACAAAGGACTAAGTTTCTAGGAATACATAATGCATGTGGACTGTCAGTCTTTTTAAAGTCTCACTTCATTCATGGGGCTTAGAGAGCATGCTTGATAATAATATGATTTTACCCAGAGATAGAGCAGTGAAGTTCTGTCTGCTCTACAACGTTACCACTTCCTTTTATTCTCCGGCAAGGATAAAATAGTATTATAGTTGACAATGGTCAGTACAAGGATAGAAGATTAAGGAGAAAGAGCCACAGTTTAAAACTACCTCAAATGCATTGACTGCAGTTCTCTTGATATTTTAGTAAGCTAAAAAAAAAAAAAAAAAGAGTGATTGTGATTGGGGAATGATCCAGAATATGAGAACCTAGTTTTATTAGGTTATTTTATTTCATTAAGCAGGTATTTGATTTCTGTTTGGTGAGAAGCTTTGATTTAGAAAATTCAATACTTCCCAAGCATTTTAAAGCACAGATGTAAATAGCTTGTGGGATGACATGTGGGTACTGTCACTGTTGGTATACTGCAGTACCTCAAGGGTGGGGAGTGTAACAAGACCTTTGCTTGGGGCACATAAATGGGCAAATGGAATTTCCTGTTTTTAAAAGTAGACACAAATAAATTGAAAACCTCCAGCAGAAATTTTAGTATGTTTGATAGGCTTCAGTTTCTTACATTCTCAATGCTCTGGAAGAAACATAATGTAGTCTCTGTCTTCATATTATCCCCTTCCTAATCTGATCCCATTACTAGTCTGTTATCTGAAATTGAGCTGAAAACAAAGCAAATGAGAATGTGGTAGTGTGATCACCCAAGGCTAAGGGGAAAAAAAAAAAAAAAACAACAACAACACTATCGATGCACAAGACGGGATAATTCAGGAACCCTGGTAGAGCCCTGCCAGAAAGCTAATTCTCTGCCCATTATTTGTGTTCAGCAGGTGCTTTGTCAGTACAAGTAATATAGCCTGCTATTAAACATCCAGGGAAAACAGATGACCTTTTAATGACATGTTTAGAACTGACTCAAACACTGAACGTCTGTCTGTCCGCTAATGTCTCAGCTATTTGCGTGGGTGATAAGAAGGGAAATAGGAGATAAGGAGGCAGGAGGGATAGAAAGATTATGATCATTCTAGGCTTTCTGACCTGAAAATGGAAGAAATTCCCGTTTCAACTTTCTTATGTGGTAAATGGCAAAGCAAGGGCCCATAGAAATAGCCAACCCAACCATGGTCCAAATAAATGTGAACACTTCCCTCACAGAGATCTACAATGCCTATGAAATTGCAAGATTAATTTATCTTAGAGAATGTTCACACAACTCATAACCTAGCCCTGTTCTATTACCTTTATCTTATTAATTATAGCAATTATTATCATACTGTATATTTTGTAGCAAAGTATTTCACTGAAACAAGTTGCATATACGTAAATACAGTTGCTTGATTTTAATGTGTTTTTTGAGATAAATTTGGGGTTTTGAGTGGGTTGACCTCAAGCTTACTATCCTTCTTCAGTCTCCTAAAGAGTAGCATGTGCCACTATTCCCAAATCAAGAGAGTATCTTTTGAAATATGATCTGTAGCTGGGGCTGGCCTCAAACTCCCTCTGTAGCTTAGGATAATCTTAAAGTTTTTAATCCTCCTTCCCCTACCTCTCACGTTCCAAGATTATAGCTGTGTATTATTATACCTGGTTTATGTGGTGCTGGGAGTCAAATCCAGGGTTCAACTCAAGCAGTCTAACAACTCTAATACATCTTCAGATACCCCAAATTAATAATCAGTTCAAATATTTTCTATGCTCTAGGGTACCTTTGAGAAGTCTCTAAAGAATATAGAATACATAACTCAAAGCCAGGTGAAAGAGAAAAGATGGGTTTTCCAGACAACTTTAACAAAACTGTCAGTAAATACTATCTCATTGTTACACTTGTCTCTCTCAAAAAATAGCTCAAATGTTTATCCTAATTTTATAGTGAAGTTATGAGTGACTTGTAATGTAATCCATGTCTAATTTTTCCCATAAGGAAACAAAATCTTGATCTTTTCATCTATAAATAATTTGTAGACTTCCTATATCTCCATTTTTCATGAACTCAAATAACTAAGGGAAAACTATTAGAGCTTTTATTGCATTCTTCTGTACAAACAAGGAAACAAAGATGTCTTAGCCCAGGGGTAGATGTGTAGTTGACACTCACAATAAGTGTTGAGCAGCCAAGGGAGTATGCTATCCAGCACAGCCTCCTGTACAGGAATGACTTGTCATTGCTTCTCTGTCATTACCAAGAAGGAAATCCATGCATGCTTGCCATAAATCCATGTCAAATGTCACAAACAATAACATCTTACTTCATTTTCTTTTGATTATGTATCTTCAGCATCAGCAAACTTCAAAGCATGCCTTTCTGCCCAGAAGACATTATGAGAGAAGGATATAATCCTGTGTTAATCTTCTTGGATGTGAGCACCAGAAAGGAGGAACTTCTTGTGTTTTATGAATGGTGGTGAAAGTGGAGTACTCACTGAACCCTAATAAATAAAATGCATTCTATTGGAAAGAACAATATGACAACAGGAATACACTCTGCAAACTGATCTTATAAAATTGTTCTAATAGTTGAAGTGCGTGCTTATGTGGAATATTTTTTCTTTGCTAGGTGTTTAAAATTAAATAATACTGAATGGGAGGTTTGAGCTTTGTGAGGTCAAAGCCAAGGAGAAGACAACTGTGCTCTGAATTCAGTCATCAGCTTCTGCTGACGATCTGCAATACATCAAGGTCCAGAACAAAACTAGAGCATCACATGACAAAGAACTAAAAATGCAGGGAGAATAGCAGAGATCTTGGCAGAAAAGAACAGTTTTCTCAGTTAAATTGCTACTGTTGTTTCACCCTAGAGAAAATTATCTTCCTGTGATTCTTGCTTTATTCAGTAATTATTGGTTAGAGCGAACATCAAGACTCAAATGTTCTGCCAAAGACACACACACAAAGCTGTTCAGATTCTTCAGGCAATTTTACAGGACTTGCATAGCTAATTTTTAAAAATTTAAATTTAAATAAATCAACCTCTTCAGTAAATTAAATATATTTCTTCCTCCCATGGAAACCATTAAACTTTATAATAAAATTTTAGTCTAAATCTGAATGAATTGAATATCACTTTTAGATATCTTAAGCCTTAATAAATATACTTACCACCCTATACCTTCTCTTGTTTTTCCAATCTCCTCCTCCCATATAAATTCTTTAGCTAGAGATATATGCCACCCAAAGGTCATGAGTATGCAAGGATGTAGGAATGAAAGCAGGCATCAAACTTGGGTTAGTGTATATCTACACAGAGTAGATGAAATTTGAGTTCAGAAATTACTGCCTCCATTTCTTGAGTCTGTTTAGATCTTCCATCTGTGAGCTAGAGAATTTCCTTCCACACTATGTAATAAGACTGATTTCCAGCAAATATGGATCCCTATTCTAGAACTTTCATCTCCCTATCTTTAAAGAAATTTAATGAAATATCAAAAAGCCAATATCTTAAATCCAGTCAAACATATTTTCAGTGTTAAATTCTCAAGCAAAGATTTGGTGTTAAAATCTGATCTTTTAGAGTCATGTAACAACGCATTACTCAACTATTCTGATAGACCATAATTATAACAGAATATAATAATGCAAGGTCATTTATGCAAGGTTGTCATTTACACCAAGCTCTTTAAATCCATCTAATTCCTAAGAGGAAGAAGCAGAGTTCCAAACCATAACATAAAGAGCTCCTTTACCTTCTTACCCACTGTACTGTGACAATATCTAGACTCTGACAGAAATGAGACTTTGGACGAAAGTATGAACAGCTGTACATCAGAACAAAGATGAGACAGCTGGTATTCATACACTTACCAACACACCAGCGGAAGTGCTCACTCAGCTGGTATCACACAAACATCCTGTAGGCTCTGGGGATCTATCCTGACGCTTCTGTTTGTGACGTCTTCCTCCCAGTTCTTGAATGAACTTAGCTTTCCTCACTTCTCTATGGATACAGCACTGAATTGATTTGTGCAAGGAAGGATGCAGACGGCAGGGCTTGGCTTTGAGGAACCTCTTTTGCACCAGTCATCCCCACCTGACAGGTGCCTACCTCACTGAGTACAGCATGCACTGACTAGGAAAATTCATTTTGTTCTTTTAGCTAGCTGATTTGGGAACTTGTGTTCTCAGCCCTCACCTCACATAAGACAAGTGAAATCTTGATTTGATGATACCTCCTAGTGCAAAAGGCATTCTCGGTATCCCATCCTTCCAAAATAGTCAAGAAGAACAACACTTCCCATATACAAAGAGCACGTGATCATATGCCTTGGATCAGCCTCAAATATACAATATGAAAAAAGTGAGACACACAGAGTCCACCACCCATGCAATAGTGACAATGCCCTATATTGTTGTGTGCAAGATCCCTTAAAGTTAAAGAAAAATGCCAAGCTCTTCTCTTAAGATAATTTCTTGTACAGTGTCTTGTGATGTTCCACTGGTTTTTTGTCACAGTTGACCTCTTTGGAGACTTCTATAACCTTAGCTGAGTCTTGGATACAGACACATAGCGGGGGAGCTACAGATGCTGTTCTCTCAGCTGTTCTAGATAAACCAGGGTCTTAACTTCATAGAATTGAGTTGTCAGTGAAAATTTCTCTTTGATATGCAGAAAGATTTGTCCGACCCGTGGCTGCAGCACACATGGTGGTTGTATACACAGACAATTTCCATCCCAGGCAGGAATGTCCCTGTCATCATCATTACATTCAGACACAGAGAACCCCAGAGACACTTGGGTGGATGATATATCAAAGATAATTTTACACCCTGAGAGCAATAGTATTTCTTCTTCAGTTTTGTTACCTGGCTTCTCTCTGTATTTGTTTGCCTGACTTTTCATATAATCTGAATCTAAACATT